AAAGCAAAGTTAAGTTGTTCACATAGATTAACAATTTCATAGGATTTGTTTTGTATGTCTGCAAAGGAAAAGAATTAAAATTTAATTTCATAATTTAGTATTATATTCCTTATCACACTAGCTGCTGGTACCTTTTGCTATTTGTTCGGCAGCGTTTTTTAAAGATTTATCACTTTTAATTGCTTCCTCTAGGGAAACTTGTGTTAAAGGAACCATTGTTTAAATTGTTTATTATTGTAGTATGGTATTCACTTTATTTATAGTTAAAGAACAAAAGAAATTATTCCTTGTTTTAAATGGTCAATGCACGCGAATAAAGGACACAAAAAAAATTAATTTTTATATACAATGTATTTGTTGTTGTGGTTGTAGATGTCAAGTAATGTCATTTGATTTTAAATAGACATCTCTGTTTTTATTGTTTATTATTTTCTCCCTCTTCTTACTGCTGAGAGATGCCACATTGTTTGTAACAATTATATGAAAAAATTCAGTTTTCTGAACGTACATTACTATTAATTCATAATATGAAATAGTTTAGAAATACAAACAATTGTATATTTTTATTTTTTTTACTTTTATTACTTCAAATCTTAAAAGATTTTTGTCTGGTTCAGTACTTTATAACGCCGTAAAACATGACAACACTGACATCTTAATGAAACGTCAATTGGGTGTCAACATATGTACATATTTGTTATCAATACAAAGTGAATATATAAATAAAAATAAAAATTTTTGAGATCAAACATTAATTTTCTGGTGAAAACGCAATTATTTTAAAAGGTATAATTTTACAAAAATGGCGAATACCGTGCGTAATCCATATGATATGGATAGCACCACTTTTGATGCTGAAAAATATTTGGAAAGGCTGTTAAAGGTATTTTAATATATGCTATAGTAGATTGCTCCAGGAATTAACTACCAGATGTCAATCCTATTTGGGTAGTAAAAATACATTTTTCAAAATGTTGGAGCATTTTTGTATATTTGTATAGTCATTTACTCCAATATATAAATTTATTTATTACAATATCACAGGATTGTACACTCAAACAAATTATGGATACAGAAGCAGCCGTTGTAAAGGATACACAAACTCTACACTCCGACATGCAGACTTTGGTGTATGAAAATTATAATAAATTTATCTCGGCCACGGACACTATAAGAAAAATGAAAAATGATTTTAAACAAATGGAAACTGATATGAATTTGCTCAAGGATAAAATGGGAACCATTACCACATTTAGTGAACAAATAACGGGAACTTTACAGGGAACCCGTTCGCAATTGTGTAAACTATCCGAAAAACACTCTTTACTTAAGCGTTTACAGTTTTTATCGTCTTTACCGGCCAAACTGAAGTCATTAATAGAGGAACAGAATTATGTACAGGCTGTGCAGGACTATAAACATGCCCAGAAAGTTTTCGAACAATATGGTCATCAGCCCTCTTTTGAGGGTATACGTAAAGATTGTGACGTTATAATGCAAGATTTAAAGCAACACTTAAGACAGGAATTTCAAAGAGCAGGAAAGACGGCTCAATCTCTTACCGAAATAGGTGAATTGCTACTGCAATTGGATGAAAAAGCTCCTGATATGGCAACAGAAATGTTAAACTGTGCATCAAAGCGTTTACATGAACAGATTGTTATGCTACAAGATCAGACAGAACGTGACATGATCGAGTTTGTAGATATGGGTATTGAGGGATTTTTGAATGATCTCACTTTGGTGGTGACCTCTTATTTTGATATGTTTGTTGCCAAACATTACGAAAACGAAAGAGATGACTTTCAAGAACAGGCTCTTAAGGAGTTAAATATTTTTTTGAATCTAAATATTGACAAGTATTTAACTTTGGTACAAGATCGTGTTGAATCAGATGTTGGATTTGGTGATACTCAAGTTATGCTAAGAGCTTTAGATCGTTTACATCGTCGTCTTTTAGCCATGAGGAATATATGCCGTGGCATAGAGATACAACGTAATACTGTAGATATAATTATTTCAGCTGCTCATCAGTTATGCGATGCCCACTCTAAAAACCTTAAGGATCACTTTTCCGATAGTCTTAGTTCTGTGCGTCTTTCTTTGGTCTCGGCTAAAAGTGATACTTCGTCTGGTGGTAGCTTAAATGATTTGATAACCAATCTATATGTTTCGTTGGTCGAAAAGGTTAAAGGGGTTTTGCAAGATTTATTGGTATTTCTACAAACCGATTGGTCCTTTAATATTAAATCCGATTATAAAGGTACTCTTTGTGTAGAAGGTATACGAGAAAATTTACTCATTGGCTTTCTGAGACACATTTCAAAAGTCATGAGTTCATTTGGTGATTCCTCAACCTCGAGTCCTCCTAACTTACTTTTAGTTTTATCGAAAACTTGTTTAGAAATGGAACAAAATGGCGTTCATATTTTGGTAATTATAAAAGGAATTTCAAACTGAAATATAATTAACAAATTCTTTTCATTAGATTTCTTTGGCAGATGATTTGTATGAAATAGATTCGGAGAACAGTGCCACACTGACACATGAAACAGAAATCTGCGCAGAAATGCGGGAGACTGCCCAAAGTCTACTCGATACCTTTGTCCGTCTACAGGGCTTAAATATATCACAAATGTTACGCAAAAGTGTAGAGACTCGTGATTGGCTTAATTGCTTAGAACCACGCACTGTAAGGGCCGTTATGAAACGAGTAGTCGAAGAATTATCATCCATTGAAAATGTGGTAGCCAGCTTATATGATTGTCCTTCAACAGTTCGTACAACGGCCAGCAGTGATTCCAGTCGAAAGACACATTTTAGTAATCTAACCAATTCTAAGCAGCAGTTTCGTTCAAATTGGTCTAATTATACACCATCACAACTGGAATCGTCCTATGTTTCCAATATTCATCGTTTGTTTTCCGAGAGAGTTGATATTTTTACCTCGGTAGAGTTTTCAAAGGTATCAATCGTTACAGGAATCATCAAAATTGGTTTAAAGGTAAGATTTGAATAACAAATATCCGCCTTTATTTCATTATTTTTCGTTTTTAGACTTTATTGGAATGCGTACGTTTACGAACTTTTAGTAAATTTGGTTTACAGCAAATACAAGTCGACACTCATTATTTGCAAATGAATCTCTGGCGTTTTGTTAAGGATGAAAAGTGAGTCTTTTACATACATATTTATTTAATTGAGGTATCATTTTTAATTTTTTGTCTTTTGCCTTCAAGTTTAATCAACTTTTTATTGGATGAAATTTTGGGTTCTGCTGTACATCGTTGCTTGGAATCGACTTTAATGGAGCCAAATGCCGTTGAAATTATATGTGAACGCGGTTAGTATTTTATTTAATTAGATTACATTTGAGTTGTTTGTAAATCATTCCAGAGGCAATTTTTATTGTGCAATCAAATAATTGTTTAATTTATCTCTTCTTTTTTAACACTTTTACGCTAGCTTAAGGATTAAAGTATATATTTTTAAAACAAAAAAATTGCAAAAAATGTATTTATTTAAACAAAATTCTGTTGGTTTATTCAAAATTAAAAACCGTTAAAAACCGTCTTACCATCAATGAGTTATCCCTTTTAATCCCAAAAGTATTAAGTGAATTGACGGTTCTCTAGTCCTTTAATTTACTGATTAGCCAATGGCCTAGTCTATGCATTAGTTTATTAATAAAAAAGTTTTAGAGCGGGTTTTTGAAATGGTAATCAAATGCCAATTAATAATCAGATTAGTTAATCTAAAAATAAATTTAATCTTATGTTAATCCCCCTTTGATGTTTTTGAGTACAAGATTAAACTTCGCAGTGTTGCCATACAAAAACAGAAAACGTCACTGTGTGTTATCAAAACAATGCATATTTTATAAAAAAGAAGAAGACAATTGTAAATTTAATATGAAAATTAATGAAAACTTAAATTAAAAACAAAAAAAATGTATTTTGAAGTGTCCATAATTTATACTAATCAATAAATAGAACATTTTAATGTTTATATTTATAAAAATTTTATTAATTTTTTTGCATCAGCTGTTTACACTTTTGCATTTCGTGCTTAAGATTAAACCACCTCCATTGGGCGCTTAAACTTGCAAACAAAATTAACTAATTGAGTACTTAAAAACATCTTTCGAGGATTAATATTAATTTAATCGCTAATCTTTCGCCTAAAGATTGGCTCTTAATGTTTAAAAAGTAAAAAATACTAACAAGAGCATTAAATTATCCATCTCTGTCATAAACCGCATTACCGACTAATGAAAAAAGTGTGTATGCAGTAATAAATTACAATAAATTACAAGTATGACAAATTACATATGAAAAATATTTGACATTATTTAAACTGCAATTCCACTCTGCTTCGATCTACATTTGTAAATTCAATAACATTCCCATAACTATATATGAAAGGAAGAAAGTGAATGATATTTAATTTTAAAGGCAAATTCCAGTCTCTCCATCCTTGGTGCAAAAGAACAAAATAACCATCTTATATTCTATATATCATATCCTATGTGAGTGAAAGAGATAGTAGTAGCCTTGTTTACTCATAACTTTATTTTGTTTTTAACAAATTTCAATTCATGTTTTGCTACAAATTTTTAGCAATATTAAATTCAACATTTTTCATTATGCTTAATTGACAATTTATTTTATTTAAGTTCAAATAGTTCTTATGATTTGTTTGTCGAAATACTTTCGACCAAAACAACTACATAATATTACAAAAACAAACACATGACATTCACATCTATAAATATGAATACACACATCAACCAATGTGCATTTATACAGTGGTGGCATAAGCACAGCTGATTATTTTTTTCAAACGTAAAAGTAACAAAAACAACAGGGTAATTGTGACAATTCGTTAGCCTATAACAAAAACAATAGGCAAAGTTTGACAGAATTGTATACTTATAACACAAACTATTGTCTGTGGTTGTTGCAGTTGTTTGTTGTACATGTTGTACTGTCTGTCACTTTATAAATACACTTTGTGTCGGTCAAATAAAATCACCTAGCATAGTATATAAGCACCTCATTTCATTACCAGAATTAGCTTTGCGTGGATCTCGTAAAGCATTTTAATCGAACGAGGAATCTGTGTTGCTCCTTGTCGCAAAGGAAATAACATGTGCTCGTTCAATTACGCTATTTCTGCAAATTAATTAAGGGAACAATTAACATGATTAAGAATTTTTTGTAGTGTCATTGTGAGGTAAAAAAACAAAAGAAATTTTACTACTACATTAAACAAATGCAGGTGTGTTTGGTTAGTGTAAAAGAGACGGCTAGTGCTATAGAAATTGTTAATTTTTACATGAGTGCAAAATAGAGGAGTAATTAACTTGTTAAATTATATAAAAACTTAAGAATTTCATAAAATTAATTGAAAAAAATTAATAAAAATATTGTGCGTTTATAAACTGCGCTAGTTTTGTCTCTTAGAATGCTCTTTTTCTCGAGAATCTGAGAGTGATAGTTTCTCTTTTATAGTACTAATTGGATAAAGTAGTAGAAAAGTACTAAAACATACAGCTGTGTTAGCTAAATACCAAGTAAATTGCATTTATTCGGAAAGTAAATTCAAGGGAGAGCGGACGTCGCCAAATTTTTCTTTTAAATAACAATTTAATTAAATAAATTAAATAAAAAATTAAGAAAACTTATTGTGCTTTAACTGTTTTTTTATCGTGTGTTGGATATTGTGAAGAAAACGTATAAAGATAATGTAATTTAGTTGGTAGTTTTGCTTCTACATTTGTAACTGTGTGTGTGTTAATTATAATTAACAAATTTATTAATTTTCTGCGCATTTTTTATCTCTTTTTCTAAACGTCTCTGCTGTCTTGTTATTGTTGTCATTGCCGTTTTAATGCCCCCCTCCCTCCTTACAACGCTCCATGTTTTGTTGTTGGTATTCTTCAAAAAATCTCATCCATATGTTATTGCTGCGTGTTGCATGATTAAATCTCGGTCAATAGTGGCTACAAGAAAGACACCGCTAAATTTAAATTTAACAATAGAATTTAATTGTGAAAAAGAATAGTACGTTTGCAAAACAAAAACACTTTTCATCGACTGCGTACAATAGTTCAGTTATATTTTGTTGCGAGTGTGTGAAAATTACAACAGCATCAAACTGGCGGAGAAAAAGATGCAAATGGCTTTATGCCAATCCTCAGTGGTAAGTATATATTTGGTTTTTTGTTTCTTCTGCAATATGTTTAACTTTTAAATAGCCTTCATTGTGTTAAAGATTTAGGATCTCATAAGGGAGTTGCAAACGTGCTGCTAGTTTGCATTATGAATACCTATGTATGTAGTATATAGGTAACTAACTGCCGGGATAATTTTTGTTATACATGTACTAGCCTAAATATAGGTATCTATTAAACTTTAGATGACCACTTTACATATACATACTTTAGGATGGCCGCGTTTGGCTTATTCTAAGATTCACACAAAGAAATATATAAAATTTTGTTATAATGGAAGAGACCTTTGCGAAATCAAATCCAATGACCAGTATTTCAAAATTTAAAAGAGAACAACTTCTTTTATAAAGTGTTAAGACTCAAAACTATATTTTTAAAGAAATAGTCAGTCTACCAGACTTGTTTGAGTTTATATCTCTGTACGATTTCATTTCGAAAAGGTAACGCTAGTATATTAGCTGTAGCGATATTTTGTTTTGGTTTTTTTCTTAACCATAGTGAGATGAAAGGATGTTTGAAAATGTAACTTTCTTTTTTTTATGTAACACCAAATTTAGCATATATTTTTAATTGCGTGAATAGTTTGCAACTTAAAAATTTCTACTTCAAAATACTTTTTACCAAAAAGTTCATCCAACATTCTTCTCTTCGAATTAGTTCATCAACACTGTATTACTTTATATTATTTTCTGGAAACCTCAAAACAAAAGAAACAAAAAAGACAAAAACAACAACAACTTTCACTTAGTTGCATTGCAAACTTTCTTGATCTTGACAAAAAAATGAAATGAAAACAAAATGAAACATTTAAGGTTGGCAAAACAAATTTTATTTCATTATGGTTTTATTGGTACAAATTAGCCAGTCAATCGGTAAGTCTGTGTATCTATCTTCGTATGTTGTAATCATACAGCTTGGACAGGTTTTAAAATGCTATAAAATGCCTTAATTTGTTTATAGCCTATATTTAGTATCAGATTTTCAAAAATAAATTTAAAAAAGGAAACAAAAATAACTACTAAGTTGAAAGAACTTTTTTATATAACTTTATTAATAGAAATGCGTATTATGTAAAAAATTATAAAACTTCATTAACAATAACCACTGTTAAAAAAATTCTATAAAAATAGAACTCTCAATTATTAAAAATTTTATAAATATGTATGACTATAATCATTACTTATTTTTTTTTTTTTTAATTTAAATTAAATCGTTTAAGGTTGCACTTTATGACATTTATACTAGACCATCAAATAAAGATAATGTTTGTTAGTTATTTTCGTGTGTTTATTATATAATTTGTTACTTGTTGTTTAGATAATTTCATTCTAATGACATTCTATTCTACGTTTACAAATATTTTAAGTCATTAAACATTTTTACAAAGAATTTTAATAATTTGTTAAAACAATTAATAGTTTTTATAATTTTTAAAATTTAAGTATTTTCAACAATTCGTTATAATTATATCTTTACATATGTACACAAAAACCCATATAAACTGTTCATTAAAGACACACATACTAAATACCCTTATAAAATATTCATCACAAAAAAAATTTTTGTTTTTTCGTATTTCAAAAAGTTTACTCTATTTAACTAACATTAATAATTATGTATTCATGGAAATTTGTGAAACTAACACCCTATAGGAGCTTTATACATATTAAACATTTATATTTAAAGAACTAGTTCCAAACTTATTTCATATGTTTAGAAAGGGTGTCATAAAGGAACAGTTTATATTCATGCAAAATACTTCACAGACTAAAAGAAAATAGTTCCTATTTAATAGACTTACCTTTGAAATATTTTAATAAAATTTAAACCACAATATTTATTATACTTTTATTTATTTAGCTTAAAGTTTACCATGCTGTTATTGAGGATGTGATAGCTAATGTTCGTGATGCCTTTCTCGATGAGGGTGTTGACGAGCAAGTGCTACAAGAAATGAAACAGATATGGCGCTCAAAATTAATGGCCAGCAAAGCGGTCGAAATCAATCCAGATCCACCAGAAACACAACCACCACTAATTGTTTCAAACAATCCAAAGGTAAGTAAAGTTAGTACAACAAAAAAAAAAGCATTCATTTTAAGAGTAATATAAACATATTGACTAAATAAACAATTGTGTTTCGTCTTTCTCATATTCATTTTTTTGTTCTTGACGCATACATAATGTTGCTGCCTGCTGCTTCTTTTTATTCTATTAACAACACATCAAAAATAAAACATCAACTATATACGCGCACAATGATGATAATCAATGAATGATTCATTGTAATATAATGCAATTTTTATTTAAAAAAAAATAAACTATTTTTTCTATACATTTTGCAACCACAACAATATTTAAAATAACTGCAAATATAGCCTACCAAGGTAAATTTCTTAATAACATTTGAATTTAAAAAATACTAATTTATGATAATTCTTTTATTTTAAAAAGGCACAAGCAGCTAAGGCAAAGAAGGCAGCGGCTGCCGCTGCTGCAGCTTCACAACAACAACAACAGCAGCAGCAGCAACAAATCAATAATAACGGTACTGCTCAAAATTCAACAACAACCGGTGTGGGTGCAAATAACTCAGCTGATGTTAAACCAAATATAACTAATTTACAAGCCACAAACGGACCCACAACAACAGCTGGCTCATCGTCTAATGTTACAAATACAACTATAATGAATGGTACAATTAAACAAGAACCTGTACAACAACAACAGCCACAACAAATGCAAACGACTCAAAGTCAACCACCACCATTACATCCTACCTCATCTAATTCGGCTATGATATTACAACAACAAAAGCAACAACAACAGCAGCAACAAGTTGGTGGCACAAATCAACAGCAACCAGCTGCTGGCAGTAGCAACAATCAGCAACAATCTTCTACTATACCCATTGTTGCCGCTTTGGATCCAAATCGTATTATGCCTGTCAATGTAAGTTAAATTATAATGATGATGATGATGATAAGTTTAGTTTTATACAATTAACAATTAATTTAGAGTTGGTAATATAAAAGAGTTGTTGAAGTACAATCGCGCAAAATCCAATTTAGTTTATGATTGAAAATAGAGTTGACAAATATTATTTGCATATTACGAGCTGAAATAAGAGTTAAATGAATAATATTTGCTATAGATAGATAGATAGATAGATAGATAGATAGATAGATAGATAGATAGATAGATAGATAGATAGATAGATAGATAGATAGATAGATAGATAGATAGATAGATAGATAGATAGATAGATAGATAGATAGATAGATAGATAGATAGATAGATAGATAGATAGATAGATAGATAGATAGATAGATAGATAGATAGATAGATAGATAGATAGATAGATAGATAGATAGATAGATAGATAGATAGATAGATAGATAGATAGATAGATAGTTAGTTTAGTTTATTTGAGACTTGATTTGATTAAACATTTGTAGTGATACATATTAATATGAAAACAGTATAAACTTAAAATTATAATGTTTTGTTTTAATAACATGTGAATAAAATTTATACAGCTTCTAACTTGGCATTGGTAGTAGTGTTAATAGAAATGGTTAACATTATGTAGAAGTGTGCTTGCTCCCGCCACGATTAAGAATTAGAATAATAGTTTACATAAAAATAAGCTTATATCTATGTACATATATAAAAATATAATAATAAAAAATATGAGTTATCCCCTATGCGTTCCACTGATAGTGGAAACATAAAATTTTGTCGATAAATTGTGATCACATGCTATTTCATTATCCAAATAACCTAAAGATAGATAGATAGATAGATAGATAGATAGATAGATAGATAGATAGATAGATAGATAGATAGATAGATAGATAGATAGATAGATAAATAGATAGATAATAATAAAAAATATGAGTTATCCCCTATGCGTTCCACTGATAGTGGAAACATAAAATTTTGTCGATAAATTGTGATCACATGCTATTTCATTATCCAAATAACCTAAAGATAGATAGATAGATAGATAGATAGATAGATAGATAGATAGATAGATAATAGATAGATAGATAGATAGATAGATAGATAGATAGATAGATAGATAATAGATAGATAGATAGATGATGATAGATAGATAGATAGATAGATAGATAGATAGATAGATCGATAGATAGATCTAGCTCCTCGCTCGCTCGAATCGCTAGCTCGATAGATCGCTCGCTAGATCGATAGATCGCTCGCTCGCTAGATCGATAGCTCGTCGATAGCTCTAGCTCCTCGCTCTCTCGCTCGCTCGCTCGCTCGCTCGCTCGCTCTCTCGCTCGCTCGCTCGCTCGCTCGCTCGCTCGCTCGCTCGCTCGCTCGCTCGCTAGCTCGTCGCTCGCTCGCTCGCTCCTCGCGCTCGCTCGCTCGCTCCTCGCTCGCTCGCTCGCTCGCTCGCTCGCTCGCTCGCTCGCTCGCTCTCTCGCTCGCTCGCTCGCCCCGGTCGCTCTAGCTCGTCGATCGATCGCTCCTACTCGCCTCCCAAAACTAATTACAACATAATAAATTAATAACAGATCACATTGCCTGCTCAACCCGGTACCATGAATTCTGAATCTCGTGTACTGACCATACATGTGCCTGCCTCTGCTTTGCAAGAAAATCAATTGACACAGATCTTAACGGCTCATTTAATATCGTCAATAATGTCACTGCCCACAACATTGGCCTCGTCCGTATTGCAACAACATGTTAATGCTGCACTCGTTAATGCCAACATGCAAAGTAAGTTAAAAACGTATTTTTTAAAATCATAAAATTTATAAACGAAACAAACTATACGCCCATCGTGTAGAAAATTTCAATACATCTAAACAAATGGATGGTGCTCTCGATACGTCCGATGAAGATGAAAGCGAGGAGAGTGATGCTAATATTGATGACGATGACAATGATGACCTGGATAAGGATGATGAATCCGATATTGAAAATGAGGGTGGTGCTGAAGAGGAGCCTCTCAATAGTGAAGACGATGTAACCGATGAAGATGCTACTGATCTATTTGATACCGACAATGTTATAGTTTGTCAATACGATAAGGTTTGTTTAAAAACTTGTTTGGTTTTTAAAATATTAAAAAATCTTTTTTTTAGATTACTCGTTCGCGTAACAAGTGGAAATTCTATTTAAAAGATGGTATAATGAATATTGGTGGGAAGGATTATGTTTTTCAAAAATCTAATGGTGATGCTGAATGGTAGTTTCTATATTTTATATACATATAACTTTATTATTTCTTTCTTAACACAATAAATTACTTAATTTTTCTCTTGTGCTCATAATTAAAAAAAAAAAATTAAAATTTATTTGTTGATATGGTAAAAAAAAACAAAACATAAATAAACAAATCAAAATATTTAGTTGTAAAATATGTCTCCTATTTATCTTTAAAATGAAAACTTAAAAAAGACGTGAAAAGCAACTTTTCGGTAGGCATTTCTGCAAATTGTTTTTTTTTATATATTTTTTCTTCTTCACATACACATACATGATATACGTACAATTTACATTTTGTATAACATTCAATCCATCTTCAATTGTTTATACTTACTTACACTTTTGTTTTTCATTGGTTATATTCTATAGGTTAATAATAAACATTATACTACTATTATTTAAATAAATGCAAAAATAAAAACAACATTAATTAATTTGTTTTATTGAATACTCATCTAGTTTTCCTACAAAGTAAATAAAAATAAAATTTCTTTTAGAATTGAAATGCAAAATAGAGGTGATTATCATTTTATTAAAGTCGCGAATAGTTCAATTTACCCAACAATTTACTCATTCTCTTTCTAAGGCGATAATAACAATTTAACATTGGACTAGGCTTTAGACTATTACATAGACTATCCATAGATCAGTCAATAGACTATTCCGGAGACAAGACAACAGATTATTTCAGAGACTAGACAACAGACTAGTTTATATACTAGTCTATATATGTCTGTGGATAGAAAATATACTATTCCATAGACTAGTCAAGTGTTGTCCATAGACTAAATAATAAAATCACCCATAAACTTGTCAATAGATAAGTCTATAGACTATTCAATACATAGACAAATCATTTGAATAGTCAATAGACTATAAAATTGACTATTCAATAAACTAGTCCATAGGCAAGTCAATGTATTAGACAATAGAAGATTCCATATTTTAATCAATAGACCATTGCATAAATTAGTGCATAGACTACTCTACTCTACACTAGTTCATAGATACATACGTCCACTTATATTCTAGTCAATAGCATAATCTATAAACTGTTCCATAGATTAGTCCTCAGACTAATCAAAATACAAATCCACTGACTAGTCTATAGGCCAGTTGACAGACTTGCTTGTAAACTAGCAAATATAAAAAAAATCCGAAAAGTTGGCAAATGTTAGTACTATTCCGAAATTTAAATTTTTCATGCCTGATCACAACTATTCACCCCTATTCTGCATTTCGATTACGTTTACGCATTCAGTTACGCAACGATCGAAAAAAGGTATTCCAACAAAAAACTGAATCGTAAGATAAAGAAGAAACAATTCCATTTCGTTTCAATGCTTTACGAATGTCTGTATTCTTACGATCGTACCTACGTTTTTGTAAGTTTTTGTTTATGTGGCGGAGAGTCGAATCGAAATGCAGAATACCAAAGTTGCCAAACGGAGAAAATTTCGATTCGAATTGAAATGCAGAGTAGGGGCCATTATTGCGCTAAATTTGTGATTTTTTGTTAAATAAAAAAATAAAAATTAATGAAAATCAAACAAATATTTTTTTATTAAAAGAAATTTTTTATAAAATACACTATAATGAAGTCACCTACGAATATAACACTTTTACTTGTTTTTTTTTTCA